CTTCCTGTTTTCGCTATATGCGGAAAACCACAGTTTAAACTCAGCGACTTCATTTTTCAACTATGAACGATATGATTCCCTTACTCAATGTAAATTACATAAGTAAAATCAAAAGCTTTTACAAACAACTGAACAGCTGTATAAAAAATTTGCCACACTCACATCTATTCATGCATCTAATCCTGCGTTACTAGTATATTTGTTACTCTCGTCTTTGAGATAAATTTATTGGAATATTATTGCGTATCATTTCTCCATAACCGAACTGCAATACAGATTTCCACTCGGAGATACTTGAATTTTTGAAGTTAAACTCTCAATTTATTGGTATATATAAACCGCTTAGTCTTGTAAAAAAAATTATCACGATACTGTCCCGTGGTTACATCACTGGTGGTAAAACTAGATGACAAGGGTTTGTATACTATTTTAGGTGGAAAATAGCATGCTTAAAACTTTATATACGCCTTGCGAATGATTGTATACATCGTACGTCCAGGTCTCTCTTTCGACTGCCCATATCTAATCCACTTGTTTTCAGTACATCACGGACTTACTTTACTTAAAAAACCACAAAACAACTAGAACAAACTTGAAAACTGTTTAGTCTTATTAGGCAAACTACAGTAAATCGAGGTCTGGACCTGAAACTTATTGGTTGTAAGCCGATCACTTTAGCATATACATAAACAATATCAACCCGTTTTGTTGGCACTATTCAATCATTTTTCATTTATTTTATCTTTTACTCTCAAGAATCCAGTAAAACGAGATCTTACAAGTATCATTCACTCCAATCTGGATAAAACGCGTAATAATCCTATTTATTTATCTGATGCACAAATGAATAGTGATAATCACGATGAAGATTATTTGAAAGACTTTAATTGGCAATCAAATCAACAATACAGAATGGAAAGTGACCCAATCAAAAATCATATTAGTTTAACCGAATGGCTTGCAACAAATGATTTACCAGATTCTAAAACGTTAAGTGCATCCTATGAAAACTATATGTACTCAAATAAACACATAATGCATTGTTTAAATGGTCAGTAAATTTTATTATTTACTGTTCTTTAGTGAGTAGTATAAATTTAGTTCAGTAAATTAACGCCCCTCCTTCCAGCCTACCCACGGTTTTGGACTACCTGTTTGGTGTAATTGTAAGGTTAACATAATCTATTGATATATTTAAGTGAAATTTAACTGCTCCAAAATAAATGTATACTGTTTTGGAAATTATTTGATTTATCCCACTTGATAATCTTGACTGAATAATTTATCAGTCTCAGTTGATACATGCGCATTGTGTTCGGATTTCCTCAAAATAACCACTTTCCGACCAAAGAGTACTAGTTTCAATCACCAACGTGAACATTACAATGTATTCAGGTACATCCAGCTAGAGTCCCAAACAAAATAAGACGCGCGTTCTAGATATCACTGCTAGCTATAATTCATCTAATCTATAAAATATTCTAATTTTGTTATTAGACCTTATTGTGAAAGAAAAACATGCTTTCATCAAACAAAAACTTAGCTGTACGCCGACATCAAATCTTGAGCGACTTTGCATTGTTGATTCGTGTTAGCATTAGGCTTTCATCAGAAAATACCGCCTAAACTAAACCAGTTTCGAATGAATAAATGCATGAATCATGCCAGTGAACTGTTGGGTCAGCTTATTAAACTTCTACTGATCCTATTAATTATTGAGTAACTCAAAAAACCAAAGTTTAAAGTATTTTTATTCGAAATATTCCATCATAATTGATTCTGTAGTTCTATTTTTCATTAATACATACATAACATAGGATGGAAATTTTATCAACATCGTTGTTATCGACTATATGAAAATAAGAAAATGACTTGGGAAGAAGCACGAAATTATTGTGAACTGCAAGACGGATTTCTGACTAGTATTACAGATGAGACAAATTTGAAATGGTTAGCTGAAATATTTCAAACACGCAAACCATTCTGGATAGGTAAGTTTTGCTATGGCGTTATTTCAGGAAAGACTGAAATGCATAAATAAACGTTTTTTCGGTAATTTAACACAAATTCCATTTGCGAATTGATCAGTAATATATCCAAAACTATTCTTAAGTTAAATTCACGAGAGCATTGAAGTTATGCTGTACAGCAATCGTTAAAACATCAAGAGGCTATCAAGATTTTATTTAAATCTTTTCACTAAGAACATCAGCTGGGGTTTCATCGAGTACAAGGAACCAATAGACAGAGGTTTCGCCCCTGTACGAAACCCGTCAGTAGTGAGTAGTTTGTAGGGTTTCAACTATGTTTCAAATGAAGCAGTTTCCTGTCAAGGAGACTAAATGATCGTCACAGAACATCCTGAACTGACTTAAGATGGTGTGGACTATGTTTCCAATCCAGTAATCTAAATGTGATGGGCTAGTTTCAAGAACTGAAGCTTATGAGTTCAATCACTTGCAAGGTTATAGACGCACAATGCTGAAAAGTCATATCCTATGAATAAACAGTCAGTAAACACTCGTCTTCAACGATTTCTTGAGCAACCTTAATTCGAGACAAAAACCACCACAAATAAATTTATCTCTAATAAAACCCGACGAGAATTATATTCAATTTGATTGGAGTGCTCTATTCTAACCACGTTCCACCTACTTCTGAGGTCTGGGGAACGAAATAGGAACACTAGACCTCGAACAAAATATTGGAAAGTTCAAACCCTAAAATATGAAACCATAATCGGCAAATAAACTAAATCACTAGTAAATTTAGACAAGACAGGAATCGAATTTAGTACAAACTTCAAATAAGTTTCCCAGTTGAATGATAATTTCAATGTAAAGCAAATGATAATGGTTTTCCATTTCAAATTTTCCAATCCGTATTTATACGATGAATACATAAAAACATGCAATAAAATACTAGTGAGATCAAATCTAAACTACAATTTTTTTCCTTAATTATAGGTCTTCACCAAACACAACCACGCGGACCATGGGTTTGGCATAATTTCGAACATGTTGGTTTTACAAAATGGGATAAAGGACACCCGGTCAATACAAAATGGCGATCACCAACTAATAAACAGATAAAACGTAAACACTACCTGTTACAAAAACAAAAACATTACAGAGGACCTAAAGCTTGTGTACTTGTAACTCCTAATCTATATTGGCAAAATCGACTTTGCAACCGAATAATTACAAATGTGAATTTCATATGTATGAGGAATCCTGAAATATTCTAAGAGATAAGAAAACAACTATGATGCTGATAGAATTACTTGATTAACGAAACGGTCATTTCTTTCCACCTGTTTACGGAGACAAACACCTTTTCAATCTTTTCCTTTTTATTTCTTCTGATATATATATCTCTATTGGTTATAATTAATTTACGAAACAAAATATGCTTCAACATCACCAATATAATGAGATTCACATGAAGTATACCACAGTATATATGTATATAAACTTCACTATTATTATTAATTTTGATGCTACTTATTATTCAAATAAGAATTAGTAGCAACTAATCATAGTTAGTTTAACTACTTACATAAACCTATAATGCACTAACACACCATTACAAAAATACATTCACAGGAATACTAACGCTAGTACAAATCAAAGACGCACAAGTTAGAACTGATATAGTCTGACTTGAAAAAATATCCGGCTTCCTTTCTACTTCCTTAGGAATCATATGCATGTAGTACTCTTTTTTCTACTTCGCAGCGAAACAAAACTGTAACTCTCCACATTTTTACTTACAAATTGTAAACTTTGTGCTATATATCTAACGTTTCGATATAGTTGGTTTATGTTTAGGATTAGAAAACATATGTATGAATTGATAGGTAACAGTTTTGTGTTTTGAAAATCTTTAAGGATTCAATCAACTTCTAAGAACACATCTAAATGCGGTGATCTCTAAGTAGCGAGTAGTAATGAACTTCTGACTCTTTATAGTTTGCTCTTTATTTTTCGTAACCTACAAGTTGATCAAATTTAATGAGTGGACTTCAATATTATCTTTTTCCAAATGGCATTTTGAACTGAGAACCTTATCCAACTATAAGAAAGACATAATTCAACGTTTGACTTTCGATCGACCTACAAAACTATCTTCTAAAGTTTGGCTGAAATAACCATCGAAAGAGGACCAGTCGATAAATGGAACTTGAAAAACTCGTAAAATTGATACAAATACCATTATCTTATTAAAAGCTTCAATATCTGATATTTGGGCGTGGTACAGTATAAGTTTGTATCTGCATAGTTTGACCCATTTACGGTTGCACAGGTCTCATCATCTAGTACACTAAAATAGATAAACTAGCTTACAACTGTAATATGAATTACACTGAGACTATTGCTTAGTAATTGAAATATCCTAACTCCTGCTAATGGACTTAAGGTCCAAACTCTACTGCTAATCGAACAGCAGGGAGCTATATCTAGCCACTAAACGAGGCAGTTGTAGGCTGAATATGTTAACCCTGAACTTAGTGAATGATTTTAGTTTATAAAACATGAATTTTCTATGCACCTGGAATGAATCATAATATGCGCTAAGAGAAAGTAACAAAAGTTTCATACCGACAGCGATGGCTTTTGATGTCTTCAGAATTTGAAAACGTACATGGTACAAAGATTTACTGAATTTCTTGATACACTTAGGTTATATGACCATACAATTACCAATACCGAATACAAGAAACTCTGAATCCACGACTATTCTGCATTCTATACTCTCCAAACAATTTGGCTTTTAGGTGTGATGTGTAATTATCGGTGCTGAGTTATGTGAAAATGACTAATACAATCCCTAAGGAAAAAAAGGTTCATTGGGAGCTTATTTTCCTAAATGACTCACAGAGAGATCAAGAGACAGAAAATTGAAGTGCGACGGTTATGTATAGTGGACCCAATAATAGGAATAAAAATTTTCAGAACGAGTAAAATCATAATTAGGTTCACCGCTTAGGCAACAATAAATCATCTATACCTAGTCCACATATTCCCACAAATTTTTTTAGGTTAATGGGTCCCAATACAGAAGGCCAACCGCTTTGTTTGCTGCAATTATTTACAACACAGAATCGTTCACCAAGAATACCGAAGTCTATATCCCAATCGAATTGTGACAAGATAGTTTGTCGATATCCCGACCAACAGTCTATCTCTTACAGTAAGATAAGCTAATCACTCAGTCGGGTGCCATTACTGCATAACTTTGAAAAGCACTACTATTTTCATAAGTGAAAACTCTTTCAGCGACTAATATAGCTAATCAGATTGCATCACAGAAGCCCGCTCGTCCTAGCATTATTATCTTAACACAGATATTGGTACAAGGAGGCACGAAATACACATGCGCCATACAGATCTCATTCGATGTGTGAGGACTGTGATACTGCCCCAGTGACCAAACAGAAACTCGTCTTAAAACCAGGTACAACATTTCTAATTAGAGATTATCTTCGTTGCTTACTAGCTGAATTCCAACATTTGGTTGCGAATGAAATTAGCCAAGCGATTAGCCCTCAAACCGACATACATATCAAGCACGATAGTGGGACCTAACTGAACTGTTTAAAAGCACCGACAATAATGACCAGTTGCCACTAGTCCTGAAAAGTTTGCCACAACTTGCAGAAATTCGAGACTTTACTAACGAATATACACCACACTGAAGATGAGTAGGATAAAAATACTAATCGAACATATACGTGATGTTATTTTCACAAATAATTACTGGCTCAATATAGCGACTCATTCAATTTTCACCATTTTCTCTACCTAATAATAATGTGTGAAACATCTTTGGATAATGGTACTGCTAAAAAAAGTCAGATTGGAAGGCGATGATGGGCTGAGGAATATATTCTACCCCTAACTACCAACAATCAGACGTTATCCGCGATGAGTATGGTACAAACGAGGATTGAGCTTGATTTTTATATCATACCAGTACAATACAACTAAGGATGAGTAACAGGTGTGCCGAGATAATACAGCAATAGTAATAGGCAAAATTGATCGAGAAACTGATCAGAGAAGATCGACAGCAACGTACGACGAAATAACAGAAATTAGTATTTAAAGGACTACAACGAGTGCATATATTTGCGCCAATGACTGACTAGGTTATCACTCAATGTCTGCAACCACTGATCTTGGTGGAGGTTCGAATACATAACAAAGTTTTCACTAATCTAGATACCCTACGCCAAAATCAGAAAACTTCATGAAGTATTACAGCATTCGGAGTTCGATATAGTATTTTTCCGACTTACTAATAGGTATCCAAAACATTATCAACGTTATGTCCATTCGGAAGACTATAAGTTATTTTAGTATAATACAGTGCTGGTTGATAAGTCTGTTTTTTATGCTACCAGTATTTTTGGTTGACTGCCGAATAAAAGAAACGTATATAGACTCGATAGCAGCCAAAACTCTAATTACAACTCCAGCACTTTGTTTAATACACTGAACGAAATGTGTGGCTATAATTCCATAGTCGATAAAAATTAAGAGACCAGACTATATGGTTTCTCAAGTATGTAGCTGTGACTACTGAACCTTTTACAACTAACTGAATGGTTAGTTCATAAATAGCGTAATATTTATCTTCAACTTTTCGGCATTTCCAGATAGGAATTCGTGAACCGAGATATCACCTGAATTATCATTCCTAAGCTGTGACAAAATGTAGACACTATTACAGTTATCGTCAAGAATAATGTGATGTCCGACTGCTATATTGTAGAAGGGCTAACATGCAATTTGTCGGTGGATATTATACTAAACAGACAGACCAACATTCCGCAATAATGCATCATAATAGTCAAAGACCATTTAACAACTGAGTTGTACAACTTGACTGTCTCAAGATATTACACCAATGACAAATTTCTACTTTATAATTTATTTACGAAACTACAATCATGTATTAAGAAAAAACCAAGGAACCTAATTATTATAAAGGCCTTAATACCCATCTGCTCGTAGCACGAACATATGCAGAAGCTACATGTTGTGAGCAGTAGTTTAGCTAAACTAACTGGATGAGCATATACACGAATTACAAAAACGACTTGATAAGCTATATGATCGTCGAAACATGTATAAACTGATCTATGCTTACACTAACTGGTCAACAAGGATTCAATA